TTTTCTGAAATTCATGCTAGAATGCAACTCCTGGTAAATTTAAAAGGGAGATCTCAGCTATGACCTGAATAGCATGTAAGAGGGTTCAACCATGGTGCCTGATGGCATGTTTGCAGAATAGAATATTAGTTGGCATTCATTTGCAATACCTGTACTGGGACTGATCGTTTCCACCAACATCAGGACACCTCAGTTTCTGGACCAGTATTCGAATGATGCTGATGAACAGAATAAAGTTCAACTGTAGAACACAGAAAGGAAGAGAAAAAGATTTTATATCATTCCTCTTTTATACAATGACATTATCCAGACTAAACATTACCACTGTTCGCTGGATCTGACACAAGAACTTCTCAAAACATTCTGTAAGACTTGAAACAGATTACAGGATTATTGCACACACTGTGACACAACGTCTTAAAGGAACCAAAAATGAAAATTCTCACCATTTATTCACCCTTTTAAGTCATTCTAAACCTATATAATTTGAATTTTGTCCATAAAATGAAACTCAAATAGATCCAGTGTTGACACCAGTGACGTTCATTGTATGGGCAAATGTATCTTCAATATGTTCCACAGATGTAAGTCACACCAGTTTGGAATGACATGATGACAATATTTTCATTTTTGGCTGAATTATCCCTTTTAGGAGTTGATCTGGCGTTTAAAATGACACTAGAAACACTAAATGTCATTCAAGTTAATAAAATCTATGCTTCGCACCAAAAGCTGTTTTGGATTTGGTCTGCCAAATGCATAACTTCAAATGTAAATTGATCATCTCCAATTTCCATCTTGTTTGAATCCATCAGACAGATAGTAGAAACAAAAGAGGCCACTTGTTTCTGTTCCTCATAATTAATCCCGCCATAAAACTTAAACCAAAACAAACAGAACATCTTGGCCAAAGGTTCATCTACCATGGCATTCGGAGTAGCAGAGAGATGTAGTTACACAGTAGCATGGTGTGCAGAGCTCTGTGAGAGAGTTATCTATACACACCAGAACTGAGCACGTTTGCCAGAAAAACGTATGTTTTATTATTATTATTGCATTCCTAGGCTCTGGATGGCTGAGGAACAGGAACATTTTGACCTGGATGCGTTCGAGCAAAGCTGTCAAACACAGCCATCATGCTGTCCAAAGACATTTGATCTCTTGCAGGTGAGTGTTTATAAAATGGAAATGGCACAGCAGACAAAAGAGAGAGTCTTGGCATGTGTGCTGAGAGAGGCACTTGTGACAGCGCGTTTGCTCGCTCTTCCTGACATGCCTGCGCTCACGTCCCATCCAGGACATGGAAACTGTTTGTGAGACTCAGCACATCCCCGCGTCTGCTTTGCTGGCAGAATCCCTCCCTGCCTGACATAATGCATACAGTATGAGGCTGGTCTCAGTGTTTATAATAGCTGGTGTGAGGTTATACTCACAATGACAGATGCCATGATTGGCCAGTTAATCACCCGCCAGGGAATCGGGGCATCATTTCTCTCCCAGCATCTGTTATGAGGAGTCATCAAAGAGTTACAAGTGCTTTCATAACAGTGGTAGCAAATGGGAATGTGTTTCATCTTCTTCTGCCTCATTTAATCTCTCAGGTTTAAATATCCGCTATTTAGAGTCTCATGTGAGCTCTGTCACTGTCTGATTAGGCTCAACTACTCACCCTGTGTCCTCGAGGTAAATCCTACACACAATCCATGAAATCACAAACACGGTGGGGAATCCTGGAAGATGGAGAGGGAATGATCAAATATCAAGAGACTTAGTGGTCACATTCATTCATGCATGCATAATCAATGTAAATATAGGCTTCAGACAGACAGACAGGCAGGCAGGCAGGCAGACAGATAGATACACTGAACAAAATTATAAACGCAACACATTTGTTTTTGCCCCATTTTTCATGAGCTGAACTCAAAGATCTAAGACTTTTTCTATGTACACAAAAGGCCTATTTCTCTCAAATATTGTTCACAGATCCGTCTAAATCTGTGTTAGTGAGCACTTCTCCTTTGCCGAGACAATCCATCCACCTCACAGGTGTGGCGTATCAAGATGCTGATTAGACAGCATGATTATTGCACAGGTGTGCCTTAGGCTGCCACAATAAAAGTCCACTCTAAAATGTGCAGTTTTACTGTATTGGGGGGTCCGGGGGGGAAACCAGTCAGTATCTGGTGTGACCACCATTTGCCTCACACAGTGCAACACATCTCCTTCGCATAGAGTTGATCAGGTTGTTGATTGTGGCCTGTGGAATGTTGGTCCACTCCTCTTCAATGGCTGTGCGAAGTTGCTGGATATTGGCAGGAACTGGAACACACTGTCGTATACGGCGATCCAGAGCATCCCAAATATGCTCAATGGGTGACATGTCCGGTGAGTATGCTGGCCATGCAAGAACTGGGATGTTTTCAGCTT